AGTGTGCATGCATATTAAAAATTATTTCTCACATGAAAAAAAGTTTAAAATCAATTTCTATGCTCAAATTATATCATTAAACATCCAAAGTTCAAAGGACACTATTGGAGTAAATGTTTAATGTTGTTAGATCCTAAATTTGGAAATATGCAACTACAATTTGATGTTTAGAGATGTATCATTCACATTGCCTTTAATTATAACTTATATAAGATATAAAAGTCATAAATAATTGTGCTTCACTGAAAATCACAGGAACATGATAAAATCCTTTAGTTTTAATCCACATTCCCACTGTGACACACACATGCTCAACATGTCACTTATATCATCAAGACTCAAGAGATATGAAATCTACTAGAGGAGAAAATAAGCAAGTTCAGAAGAAAAACCTGATGAAGTACTTGTCAAATCAACACCCAAGAGATCATGTAGAAAATCAGTAGTGGACGAACTAGAAACTGGAGCATCATCAGAACTCAAATCGAGCAAATCCACCAAAGGAGCAGCCGGTGGCTTCACCACACCATTTGGAACATTAAGTGGTGTTCCAGATGAGGCTGATTTGGTCGTTTTATTGGCAGAAAGGGCCTCCTGAGACGAGCCAGCTCTCTTTGCGATATAAGCTGCCTCATCGAGAACTGGCATGCGTTCTACCAAAGAAGATCTGTGCATCAAATACATATCCCTTAGATCTTAGAGAAGACCATCGAATAAAGAAACTAATAGATGATGGTTGATATGTAACCCACTTTATGCCCTGATGTTTCTGTATAATTGAGTTGAACTCAATTGATCTTTGCTGTAGTTCTAGCAGAAGGCTTCCTTTTTGCTGCACAATTAGCTCCCTGATTCTCCTGTATAAAGCAGAAGGGAAAACTCTCAATCTTCGGGAAGAAATGTAAAAGCAAGATAGCACACACACATCTGTATTTATGTATATGTATATGTATATGTATGTTGATGTGTATGTATGAGTATGTTTATATGTATGTCTATTAATCTATATGTATAAAGCAGAAGGAAAAATTCTCAATCTTCTAGAAGAAATGCAGAATAAAAACAAGACAGAACAAACAGACACACACAAGCAATTTATGTATGTGAGTATGTATATCTACATGCAACTCGCAGGAGAAGTTATTGCCTAACGTTTATCCAATCATCAAGAAATTATCGAGTGTAAGACACAAGAACAGACGAAAAAACAATACATTTACACAAAATAACATCTAATCTCCATTAAAAATCTCAACATAAACCAAGCAGGTTACAATAGATATCTTCAACTATATAACAAGAAAACCTTTAAAAGTGAGTTCAGGGACTGAAACCGGAAAACCTTCAGGAATGCACATAGTCAAAAGAATGACAAATTTCATAGATAATACATGCATGACAAATTTCATAGATAATACATGCATGATGATAAGTCCGCACTTCACATATTAAGATAAAACTTAGGTCTCCAATAATTCACTTTTGCATTTACCCAGAAAAAAAAATCTTAATTCCCAAATAAAGCTCCTCTCCTTTTTAATAATTTCTTGGCATGCATCTGTAAGTGAAAAAACAAATAACTAACATCTACTAAGCTATTCTATTAGTTTCCAATATAAATCCCTAACAATCAGTAAGTATCCTATTTATATAATACTGTATAGCTGTCTTTTTTTCCTCATTAAATGATAACCATATAATACAAGAAATTTGAAATATATAGAAAATCATATATTACAGAAAATGTTATTCTTGGCATATAAACACTTTTGAAACGTGGTACTTACAGACATGCATTAATGGCCTTATTAATAAGAGTCTATTACTATACTTTAATAAAAAAATGATAAAAACTAATGATGCCCTTGAAATCTTCAGAAAGAATACAGACTCAAATATTCATGTGTACAAGAAATGTTCGATACATCACCAATAACATTTACCTGGAAACAAAAAGGCGATAATAGACAAAATTATGAATAACATAAGATTCAGATGGAAGAGCTAGTTGAACAAAGAAATCTGGACAACTTGAGCAAAACAATGAAAATGAAACCCAAAAGTGCCAATGCAGAAGAGAACACAGGAAGAGAAGTGACAATAAGAAAATCAAAACGAAGAAAAGAAAACACTTACTCTGAGACAAGGGGAAAACGAGATGAAAGCTTCAAAAGTGCAATCAGACACATTGCTTGAGTCGTAATATCTGAAGAATGACGCTTCAGGGCAACCTCTAACAAATCTACAGCATCTGACTCTGTCACCTGAAGCAAGAACGTATAATGCAAATTTAAATCTACACAACTGAATTAATATAATTAACTCAGCAATATGTTCCAATAATTCACACATAATAACTATAAAAAATGAATTAGTCGTGAATTAACTATGCCTTCTTCGCAAACAAATTTGGCAACACATATGCCAATAAACATTACAATAAAGTGTTCCAGGCAGCAACAGGTAAGACAAGAAGCTAGTTTTACATGTAAAGGATGCACCACTTCTTCCCATGTGAGGTACTTCAAGCATAACAGTTTCTATACCATTTTGACTTTTGAAACCCACGGACATGAAAGGAATCTCTAGGTTGAAGAAGTCAGCAATTCATGGAAAACTAGAAGCCATTAAGGTTTTCTATAAGATAAAATATTTTTAACAGAAATAATAATTGTGTAAAAGACAAGAAGAGAGAAGAAATATTGTCAAGAAACAAATTTCAGCTTCGTCCAGGAGCATACAATCACTAGGAAAAAAATGAAAAACCATAGCTTATGTCAAAAGCATGCTCCTATATTATTGATAAACGATAGTTACTGCAACGTAATTCACATTACCCAAATATGGAAAAATCTTTGAATTTGTAATGGATAAGAATGCACTCACTGTCATTGGTTCCTCGCCTTCCAGCATTCCAGAACTATTAACCAGCATCTCCCCATATTCACCAATACACCACACGGCTACTCGGACTAAGCTTTCCTGCAAAATTTAGCAAGATAATAAATAAGAGAATGCAAAGTGATAGGCACCGCTAACTTCACCTGGTTACCAGGGAAAAAGCTACCTGTTCAGATGATGCTTGGAATGCCCTATAAAGTGATCTGACGGTGTATCCTTGGAGATCAGGCGCATTGCTTATCACAACTATAAGTGCATGCCACACATCATCTTTAACATAATTTCCAGCCTGTGAATATCATACATTATAAATATTATGGCAGCTGAACGAGTTAATTGCACATGGAAGAAGAATAAAAGGTAAGCTCTACTAGCAACATGAAGGTTCTGTTTGGCAATGGTATGAGGAGAGATTAAGGAGAAGGATTACATAGTTAGCGCATTTGTTAACCTGAAGGATTTAATTTGTTAATCTGTTAGGTAAATTATTTTAATCCTTATGAATTTTATTTATTTATTTGCATTTGGAATAAAAATGTTTATGACCACTTTATTTATACGAGGGGTTACCTCTTAAACCGTCTAAATAAGTGGATTTGTAAACCCCTTGTTTTGAGGGGTTAACTCAATAACACCTTTGGAGGGATTTGTAAGCCCTTCCTCTATCTTTGGTGTTTGGCAAATTAGGAGGGCTCAACTTAGTTTACACCTGTGTAAATTTTTTGTGTTTGGCAGGTTGAGGGGTTGACTCTCCTTACCCCCTCACATAAACCTTGGCCAAACGGGGCCTAAGTAGCAATTAGAAAGAGCTGAAAATCCACCAATATCACGAAAACCTCAATTTAACTGGGAAAATTGAATAAAAATACATCATCATAAACATGAAATATAGTAACGTATATTCTTATGTTTTTGTAGACAAATAGACATATACACTAATAAGCTTGCATTAGATATTCTACAACTGAATGTCCAGTATAACATCCTAAGTTGGACAATCTAGTATCATTCTGAAAGTCCAGTATATTCTTAAGTACTGTAGGGAGTTAGACATATACACCAAAAAATAGATCCATAATCGAAGTAGGTGAAATAAACAAGAATTAATATATAGGAAGAAGTGACTGACCCCAAAAAAGAAAAAGAAAAAAAAAAGATATTTCAGAATAAGTATTACTAAGAACCACAAAAAAATTAAGTGTTCTTTAATCATATAATAGATATGAGGGGGAAAAGAAACTTCGATTGTTATGCAAACCATAAAGAAAATAGAAAGAAAGGAAACAAGCCTCATGATATTTGAAACACGCGTAATTACTTCATAATAAGGTTCCTTATCCCTACCTCACATAGAACCTTTAGCATTTGGTCAATATACCATAGCTTCTCAGGAGAGAACCTACTCAATGTGAAGCAACAGAACAAATTAGGTTAAAATGATCTTCATAATAGTGGAAGAAAAATATTAGCACAAAACATCATAAGTCAGTAAGATGTGAATATCAAAGGAAATCTAACATTGGCAAAACAACAAGATTATTGATAATGGTCTTGCACTAGAGAAGCCACATGAGCATCATGCGCATGCAATTTTTTACTCCACAACTCCTGGATTGTATGTAGAGAGCTTTCAAACATATGAGGTAGTAAAATTAATAGAAACTAAATGCAAGTAGATAGTTGAAATGAAATGAATCTGGGACTTCCCACAAGTCATCCCCGCCCATTATCGCTAACCCAAGCCATAGCAGCTGCAAAAAGTCAATTTGGAAAGAAGTGTGCAAAAGTAGGAACTCATAGCATGTTTAGCATATATCGAAAGATGGCTCAACCTATTTTACCACTCTAATGCTTTCTCACATAGTTTAGGTTGTTAAACCCGTGAGAAATATTAAAGAGCATTTGCATAAGGAATGCTCTGGGGAGGTAAGAAGAAATAAAAGAGAAACCCAGGGCTAAAAGCAGAAATACAGGAAAAGTAATGACAAGTACACGAAGATTAGACAGATAGGAAAATTTTCAACCTAAGTTGCATGGACAAGTACACAGATCAGATACGAAGAGTATCAACCTAAGTTGCATGGAAACATGTACGGGTACCGGTACGGGATGCGGGTACGGTACACGGAAAATTTGTAAAGAGTACGGTACGGGGACACGACTAAATATATATTGAAATTAATAATTAACATGAGATCATTAAAAAATTTCAATTCATGTGTTATTAGAATTAAAATTCCTACCACATTTTTAAGTTTCGTTTATTATTTTGATTATTATAAATTGAAAATGGCTCTCATTTTTGAACTAGACACTCAGGTGACCCTCTTAACTCAATAGTTTTGGACTTGGACACCGCTGAGACAAACCCAACTCATGACTAATGAGTTTCAAGATATGAATAGGTAAGAAGTGTATGACACGTGTTTTATATTAAAACATATATCATATAACTGAGTACATGTCTGAATAAATGTATGCGTATATCAAAGGAGTGTTTATGAAGTTTCGGTATAGGTATGTGTTAAGTACGGGTTTGGCTTCAAATAAAGTACCTGGGTAACATGACAATCAATAATGAAGATTAGAGAAAAACCAGAGAGAATGAAGCATATTAACCTAAGTTGCATGGAAACATGTACGGATACCGCACGGGTTCGAGTACTGTACGTCGAAAATTTGTTAAATGTAGGGTATAGGGACACGACTATATATATATTGATTAACGTGAGATCATTAAAAATTTTCAATTCATGTGTTATTAGAAATAAAATTCCTGGCACATTTTTAAGTATCTTTTATTATTTTGATTATTATGAATTGGAAATGGCCCGTTTTTGAACCAGACACTCAAATGACCCTCTTAAATCATAGATTCGGACTTGGGTACCAGCTAAGACAAACCCGACTCATGACTAATGAGTTTCAAGAAATAGATAGTAAATATAGGATATACATCCAAGAAGTGTATGACACGTGTTTTATATTAAAACATATATCATATAATTGAGTACACGTCTGAATAAATGTATGCATATATCCAAGGAGTGTATGAAGTTCCGGTATGGGAACATGTCAAGTACAAGTACGGCTTCAAGATAGTAGTACCCGGGTAATGTGACAATCAACAATGAAGATTTAAGAGAACCAGAGAGACTGAAGAATTAAGGTACTGACCAATACCGAATCTCAGTCTTGAAAAATCTTGTGACCTTCCTTACTCATAGGAAACAACAAGATAAAACACAACACCCATCGGAATGCCAACTCAAATGAAGATAAGCTAAATTCCATAAAATATCCTAGCCATGATTCCAATTCAAATGGAGATAACAGCTCAATTTATCAAATGGAAAGAAATGACTCAATTTTATGAGAAGTCTATGGCTAAAATCAATGAGCAACCGAACTCTACATTGACAATAATGTCATTGCAGGTTAAAACCAAAGTAGATGGCTCCTATCTAAAAAGGCTGCAATCAAATTCTGAAGACAACAATAGTGAATTCGAGCATTTATATTTGGCGCTTCTGATTAAAACCCCAAATTCACTACCAGGCACAACAACGATCCCCCCTCCCCCTCCCAACCCATTAAACACAATTAACACCTATTTGGTCCATATCTTCCTTTAGCAAAAACTGGTATATGCAAATCACTTCATGCTCCCTCATGTACAAAATAAATACACATTCACATGAGTATCGTCCAAGATAAAATGAAAGTAGTTCTTGTTCATTCTATCTTCATTCTCTCATCGTACTCAGAATCTCTTCCACCATTTCACAAGAACAGAACATCCCGGCAAAAGGCTTAGATAAAATTTCCCAGAGCATGTACTCAAAAAATATTAATTTCTCATCATATTTCTTTCCTGTGTACCAGTCCTCCTTTCCTGCCCTTTTTCAACTGCTATGTAAATTTCTAATGAAGAGTCGAAATTAATTATGAATCAATTGCCAAGGGTACTACACCGTGAACAAGTAAATTGGACCTGTCAAATATTAATAATTGCAATAAATAAAGGCATCTTCTGATTCACTCATGTCTCAAAATTTTAAAATAAGTAGAGAAGTCCAAGTGATTGCCTCTCTAGAAAGCAAAAATCCAACAAGAAACATGGAGCAAATTTTAACTTACTTTTCAACAATTGAACAGATTTTTGCACTAAGTTCCGGTTTGAACTCTTGATCACTAACTTCCAGATAGTCGATAAGTTCTTTTGTCAACTGCTTCACATTGGTATCATTAACTAAAAGAAATACTAGTTCAAGTGCTCTTTTCCGTATTGATGCATCAGAGTCCTGAAAATTGTAAAAGGTTAAAAAGAAAAAAAAGAGCAGTTGTAGGCTAAAGATGACAAGTGATGAGCATTGAGCACAAAAGCAACTACAACCAGGAAAGAATCTCAAAATATTTAGGATATATACAGCAACGTTAAAAAAAGTGAAACAAAACTAAATCACACATGCAATGATGAAATTGTTTGAAACTGTTAATTACATGATAATTAATAAGACAAAAAATGTATCAGTTGTGCTCCGGATTTGTCATCCTATCCTGCTGCAAGCATTTTGCACGTAGCCCTCATTTGGCAAACAACAGACAAAGTGCACATGATTGTTATAGCGACCACTACAGAAAGTTGTGATAAAACCTGTTAGGTAAATTGGGTTGACAAGCACACAACTATGGGCCCTTGAGAACATACCCTGAGGAGTATTGTCCTAACAAGAAGAAATTGATTTCTTAATAATATGAAAAACGTGGAATAAAATTATGGACACTTCAGTAACAGAGCTCCAGAACACCTAGTTCAATCAGCTCGATTTAATACAAATGAGTGAATAACGATGACTAGGGTTGTTTGTATGCAGAAATTTGCAACTGCAAGTTCCCTAAATGGCAATTGTTCGTCTCGCTGCAAGTCCAACTTTCATTGCATTAAAAAGAAAGAAAAACAAAGCCTCCTTTAGATATAGATAATATGAAGGTAAAACCCTTAATTATAATTCTCCAATCTTTGTGGAGATTTTGATATGACGAGCCTATACAGCAACATAAATCTCATAATGTATTTTCTCTTGCAAAACGGCAACAAGGCCAAAAGAACACTATAAAAACGATTGTCGAGAGCACAGACCTTGACACATTCAAGAATGGTCACTCTATGCCGCTGTACTGCTTGAGAGTCGACCGCTACAGCCTTCATTAGCATGTTGAGTGCAACATATCTGGAAACAATAGATAATGACTATCTTAAATTCAAAACAATAAGTTTACACATCTTCCAGAATGGGGAAGCTCCTCTTGGGAATATAATCTCATTCTCATATAATCTACATATAAGAGAAATGAAGAATGCAGATTTACAATTTCAGAAGAAAAAAGGATTCACATTGATGAAAAAATTCTAGGCACCGGTACAAACAAGAGTGAGTAATACCTTTAAAGTATCAAGCAGAGTATCCAATAATACAACAAGAAAGACTACTAGACAATAAAGAAATATAGTTCTAATGCTCTAGAACCACCAAACTACGTCAAGACAAAAGGTCAAAGGGCAAACCAAAGAGAAATCAATTCATTATATTGTACTGCATCAATATGAAAAACTGCCAAATAAGCTCTTCCCCAACCCCCCACACCTAAAAGAATAAAACAAAACCCCCTCTCCCAGGACAACACAACCAAATGCCCACCTATCTGAAGCAATAAACAATCTTTGATTAAAGTGTTCTACAGTCTCCTCCTTTAATCAATATTTGACTTAAGTAAATCGCCACTTCAATCATACTGAGACATGGAAGTCTAAGAAGAGTAAGACAATCAGATATAATCTCAACAGCTCAAGATGCATCCAGCATGATTCTAACAGACTACCTATTGCAGCCAAAAACATGGCCACTAAGAAATCTGGGTGAAGTTCAGATTCCAATACACTGGGAGGTGGGAATACTTATATAAATAGGTTGAATTATTAAAAAATGCATAAAAGAATAACCTTATATTATTGTCCCGATTTGACAAAAATCTCCCCAGTATGTTGATTGCCAGAACCCTCAGCCCACTGGTAGCTTCTATACCCATTATTGTTTCAACACATTCATAAAGAATCGCATTCCCAGCAATCTTGTTTGACTCCGTCTTTGTAGCTACCTGATAATAGAGTTTACATAGAATAATTAGTATGTTGGAATAAAGAAGCTGTAAAGACACCCTACAACAATTCTTATAACTAAGCATAAGAAACATCATAAGGCAAATAGTGATCCACAACTAAGAGAAGTAATAGTTAAAGAGCAGTGAAATGTGTTTCACCAAATTACAGGGATAACATAGAGCAAAGATCACATATGTGAGAGATAGAGAGAAAATATAAGGAAAAGTTAAAATTAATTAGTATTGTAACGAAGCAAATAACATAGTAAGACAAAAAAAAAATGATAGGTGCCCTTTCAAGCATATCCTTTTAAGAAAAAGAATAACAATATATTATTCACCGATTTTACCCACAAGCAAAACATTCAACAAATAACAATAGATGAAGATGAAGTTCTCTTTACATTAGAAATATTTTATACTGAAATAGATTGAGTTTCCTTCTCAACCTTTATGACTCGTCAACACTGACAAGGTTTTTTCCTATCAAAACGTAGTAGGAAAGGAAGCATGACAAAGGTTGAAAAAAGCTCCACAATGGTGCTAAGTGAATAATTACAATACACTATTAAACAGCTGCAACCCTCTACCAGTTGGTCCCAAACTCATAAACATAATTAGTACAAACAAAAGAAACCACCCCCCGGACCTTAGGCCAACTCTCCAATCGACTGGGTCCATTTCATATGTGATGGGAAAAAAGAGTACTTTTTTATCAAACACTTATCCCCAAACACGCCCCATATTTCCACGTATTCAAGGATTCTTACACCTTAGAACATCATGTGTACAATGGGCCCGATCCACTGGATAATCTCTCCAAGGAGGAAAATTAATATCTAAGTAACTAGCATGTTAGGCAAGGCAATTTAAGTACATGCGAATATGAAGCAAACTACCAAATTCCTCTAGGTAAACAAGAAAGCTTTTAGCTGAAGAAGTAAACAAATTAGGGGATCTCACTTCTCAGGGATCTCACTTCTCAGACATGTCCAAATAATAAAATCTAGGACAAATTTTTTAAAACATCCAATTTTCAAATTTAAAAAGCAAAATCGACCTCTTAAAAATAAAAATAGCAAAATCGACCCTTTTGATCGATTTTGCAATGGGATGCCAAAAGAATCTTCTCTATCTAGTCCCGCTCCTCTTTTATTTTAAACTTATATCTATCTTCTATTCTCATCTCTATCTACCCGCTCACCGCCTCGTCCCAGCCTCACCCGCCGGCGTCCCCATCCTCCATCCTTTCGCCTCCTCCTCCTCGATCAGCATCAAGCTGCCCCTACCTCCCCCCTCCCCTCCTCCGCTCCGACCGCCTCAACAGCTCGCTCCGCGCCACCCTCTTCAGCCTCCTCTCTGTCGAGCCACTACGCCCCATCATTGGATCCCAAGCAAGCCCTAATCCTCCCCCCAACGATCTCCCTCCTCAGGTCCCCCAATCCCCCGGCGCCGAACCTGAAGCGACGCCCTCAAAGCCCTCTACGATGCCGCCCTCTACCCTCTTTAGAATCGCCCTCCTTTGATCTCGCCCGGCGGCCACCCCGCGCTCATTTCCGCGCATAATCGCGAGGCGACGGACCGGCCGAGGCAGTGAGGACGGACGACGGTCGGTGACGCAGCTGCGGGTTGCTCGCCGAGGCAGTGATGGTTTAGCGAGGTGGAGGGTCAGGTCTTGCGCGTTTGGTGGAGGAGAGCGCGAGCGGCGGCTGAGGAAACGCGGCGCGGCGATGCTTGAACATAGTTATTAGTGGAGGGCAGATGGCCGCGGAGGAGGTTTGTGAAGCGGCCGCATGTTGGGCTGCTGAGGGCGTTGCGCGGAGAGGGGAGGGATGAGAGAGGGAGCGAGGAAGGCCCGACGAGTTGTTAGGGCCCTCGCCGCGGATGAGGGAGAGGAGGGGAGGGGCAGCGAAGGTGGAGACGAAGCAGGTGAAGGAGAACCTGGATGCAGATGGTTTTGTTTACAATAAAATGGACGGGACTAGCAGTCCCGTCCATTTTCTTTTGGAACCCCGCTGCAAAATCGACCAAAAGGTCGCTTTTGCTATTTTTATCTTTGAAAGGTCGATTTTACTTTTTAAATTTGAAAAAAGGGTGTTTTTAAAAATTTGTCCTAAAATCTACATCTGAAGAAGTAATTCCCCTTGGAAATCAGTTTTAGTAATATGGTATAAATTAGAAGGTGAACCTCATCCCATTGCTAAGGAGCAGATATCAGGAAAAATAGAATGGAGAATGACACAATACTATTGCCAAGAGTTTATGTGGCAACAGCATCAACATGAGCACCAGTTAGATCAACTATATTGGCGACGGCACCTTGAAGTAATCAAGATTACCTTTAAGAAGAATACTAGCCTATACATCAACCAAAAGGATCGCTGTGAATGCTTACTACACTGACATACTGGCCTAGCCCCTTTTGGTCAATAAATAATGTCAGGTAGCTGTCTAGTGTTTCAAATATCAGTTAGCAGAGCATAGCAGGAAGATGCATCTAAACAATAAAGTGGTCAGCGGCCACTAAAGCAGGATGGATATTTTAAAAACTAAACAGACATAATTCATGTTAATATACTTTTTATAAAGATGTTTAAACAAATACACTTTAAAAATTACAAATATTCAAAGAATAATTGACAGTTTTAAAGAATATTACTAATAGGTGACAAGCTATGACCCAAGATCGAAGACTCCGAAAATATTAAACAAACAATTGAAGGACCACTTTATTCCATCCTTTGCTCTCAAAACAAAGCAGGAAACAAATTTAAAGAGAAAAGAAAAACAAAGAAAAGAACAAACCTTTCCGGAGACAAAGGGCTCACATTAGGCAGGCTCGGCCACCAATCACTAAACCAAAGTTGCAATGGTTACTATCACAGTATCACTACCTTGGGAAGGTGAATTTGAAGCAAGGAGAAGTTCATGTGGAAAGTGGTGAACTTCTAATGCGTACATATTTATTATTTTCTTAATTTTAGTGTGTGCAGATGCATCAATGTGAAGATCTCGGTTTTCAGCATTTTCAGGGAGAGAAAGCAAACAATTGACTTTGAACAGAATGCAAATAACATGAACTTCCATCATTCTATAGTGATGTTGATTATAGAAGATCTATCAGTAACCTTATGGTAAAGAACAAAAACGAATTTAGTTAATTGCTGAACTGTGCATAAAAGATGCAAGAGTCGATATTTATTTACAAAGTAACTTTAAAATAATAGAAGAAAACACGACCAATGCCAAATAACAAAGCACAAGCATCTAAATAAACTAACCTGGGCAAGAATATCATTCATATATTCACTGGAATCTGCATCTCCTTGGCCCAACATCCTCATGAGCTTAAGCACTCGAATATGTAGAAAAGGATCTGTAATCCCGGAAATATCGTACTCAGGTGCGTATGGACTATTTGACACATCCCTCAGTATCCGCACCAAACCCTCTGTGCAGTTCTAAAGTCATGGCGAAAAATTATCCCATGCCACAAAATTCAACAAAAGTAGACGTAATAATAATGGAATAAGGCTTCACAAAAAATACATGAAGAGCACATAAAGATACACATTTAAGAGTTATCCAAAATAAACGATTAATCCCCATCAGGAACAAAAACAGTATCCAAAGTTAATCTTCAGAAAATACTAAAGCCTCCAATGAGAGCCCACAAAATAAAAGAGAAAAAAAGGATAGTTGACCATGCTCGGAAAGAAACATTCAGAGTTCTTTACGACTATCCTTCACAATTCCCAAAAAATAAAAATGCTCTTAAATACACTCAAAGTGAGATTCTAAGCAATCGCAATACCAAAGTGTTGAATTGAAGGCAATCAATCTGCAAAAAGGAAACAAAAGTAGGAGCAGCAAGAAGTTTAACATGAAAATAGTACCTTTCTTAAATATTCTAGAGCCTCTGTGCTGACTTTGCACAAATCTGTACAGAGCTGAACTCCTGATATAAGAACTCCATGATGTTTTTCCTTAAGTAAACCACCAGCAGGACTCATAAAGTTTTCTGCCAAATCTGGAACTTTTCTTATAATCCTTATAGAGCATAATGCAGCCTGAGAAACATTAAAAATTAGATTTAAAGCCAAAAATGGAAACAAATCCAGCAAACTAAGAGAAACATACATTTTCTGCTTTTAACAAACTTAAAATATCATAAACACTTGCAATAAAAGCATATATCCAATAAATTTTACCAGAAACTCGTAGATCAAAGCAACTGCATTATGATGGACAATTTTCATTTCTTTACTCTTAATAAACTTTACTAGCTTAAAATACCCAAGAAATTGATTAAGAAGCTGAGTTCAGGGAGCCATGGTGGCACAGTCATGCATCAAAAGCATGGTTGCAGGATTAGCATCACTAGTCAATAAGAATCAACTAGGTCATAAACATGAGGGCACAATACTATAATAGTCATCTCCATACAAGTTAAAAGATGCATTCATTATATCTTAGGAGTTTCTGTATTTCTATGTCAATTTGCATTGTAACTCAAAGTGTCACAATGTTCTCGAGAGTACCCTGACCTACACAAATGATCTTATAAACCTTCAATCGCATAATAGTCATAGTTATCACTGCGTAATATAAGTTATTGGGATGCTACATGATTCACAATCATTATGACCTTTCTCGCACTAAGCAATATAAGATTCGTTCTTCCCACACTTGGCATGCCATGAGAAAGAAATTGCATAGCAGTTGCAGAAATATATTTATCTAAATCCATCATCGGTGCATATCTGGTGGTTTTCTTAAAATTATAGCTATCATGTTTCACCCAGTATTACTAGTTACAAGCAAAAATGGCAATATTATTGACACAACTAAACATCATCTGAATGATGGTTGTCAGCTCCCTCTATTTGTAGCAGTTAAAATAGAATCCATCAATAAATGCTAAGCACCTTTAAAGAAACTAGCTCTGAGCAGCACAGTTATTTGTTATGCACAGGCAATAAACAAGACACTATATCATAAAAACATATCAGCAAGGAAAACCAAACTAAACTTTTTCATGGACACCTATTGCTTGCTACTTTTTCAGCCAAAATAATGAGTCAAAGAAGTCATTCCCTAAAAAAAGCACTTTTACAAGAGGAAGAAATTACTTTTTTCTTAATGTTTGGATCTCTACTTAGCAATAGCCTTTCCACTTCGGGAGCAAGATCCCGTGCCATCTCTGCTGAGCAAATATTCCCTAGAGCACAAAGAGCAAGTCCAACAATATACTGGTTGGAATGGTTGAGATCTCTGGGTAAGCGTCAAGGATTTAGGACAAATGATTAAACACGGTTGTAAATTGAGTATGATCATATTCAAGAAATACATTAATAGAACCATAAATTGTAAGAGGAAAATAAACGTAGAGATTAAAATAACATAGGATACTGTTTCAAAGAATTTGTAACCAGCATAAGCACTTCTTGTCTTTCATCGAGAAGCAGCATAAGACCAAGATATCCTATACGTTTCTCAGGAAAACCAGCAGAAGCAATTAACTTAAGACATTCCATTTGACCAAAATGAGTAGGATAACCAAGCATGTGAATGAACATGAGTTTTGCCAGGTTACGATGCCTGTAATCTTGATCATTTTCACTGACAGCAGCACGTATAGCTGCACACTCTTTTCTGACAACAGCACGTTCTTCTGCGGCAGTTTTGCATGCACGTATAGCACGAATCATATCCCTGTGTCATTAAACTTAAAATTGATCATATGGAAGAGGGTAACATACAATTACAGAATTCATATGGCTTGCTGATTCTCGGAGATAAAGTGGCCTGTTGAAGAAAAATAATCGCCATGGGCTATTTCGCAGCAATCAAATGTAGAATGGCTCAATCAGCTATTAGCCTATAAAATTAATCGACATTGATGCCAGATCCTAATGATAGATAATAGCAATATTCGAGTCTTTTGAAATTCGTCTGACATATCTACAATATTAATTTCACCACCAAATTTGAAGTATCATCCCATGCCGATACGTATCAAGTATCAACTATGTTGTATCAAATTTGAACATGCCAGTCCTATCCACCGGAAGCTGGCCAATACAGTCCAGATTAGCTAATACAGATATACAGGCTAATATTGACTATTAGAGTAGTTAGGATGTTAGAGAAGTTAGTTTCAGTCTCACATTGGAGACATAAAAGACTAACTTCTCTAACATCCTAATTCCTAACTACTCTAATAGTCAATATTATTCACAGTTAGGCAGCCATGCTCCTTGTCTTTTATGGCTGTGAATAATGATGGCTTGATCTTTCAACTTGATGTAAAGAATGTCTGCCTCTACTGTGATCTTATTAAGGATGTGCACATGGAGCAACCTCTGGGTTTTTTGCTCAAGGAGAGACTCCAAGTATGTAAGTTAAAGGTGGTTAATGGTTTCATCATCATGCTGGTTTGAAAATTTTAAACGTATGATTACTGACTTTTGAATCAGATGTCCTCATATATACCACTCTATGTCTGTTCAGAGCAGATCCTCTGGCATTATTATTCTTACGGTGTATGGGGATGATATTTTACTACTAGGTAGTGTCACTATAGGAATTGAAGAAACAAAAGACTATCTCATAAAGCATGTTGTTATTGAGGACATGAGACATTATTGCTACTTCTTGTTCTTGGATATATGTTGTCCATAACAACAAAGAGATTGTTCTCTCCTAGAGTTAGCGAGCTATGTATTTATTGCAGGTAGCACAATACTTGGCACAAACCCTAGTAACACATCTTAGAGCAGAATACTGATTTATGTTCATGGTAAACAATAGAGGACAAGCTTCAATATAGGCGACTAGTTGGAAAGCTATTATCTGACTATTACTAGATTAGACATATCCTTAGTTGTGGGGTTGGTTAGTCAATTCGTGGAGAAATCCAAAAAGCATCACTAAAAGGCAACCCTAAAGATTTTGCAATATGTTAAGGGATAGAGGACTACTCTGAAGCATACCATGTTGGATCAAAAAGGATAGATGTTAAGTTGTAGCTATTGTATATGATAATATATGTCAATGGCAACTAGATTACTTTGAAACACAAGAAACATACTATAGCAGAGAGGTCTAGTGAAAAGAAGGAGTATGTGGCTATTGCTCATACAAATTGTGAGATATTTTGGGTCAAAACTTTGATGGTAGAATTTGGAGTAAAGTATTGGTTGTCTACTTATGTACTATGACAATGAGTCTTCCAATTCAATGCTAGCAGGCCTATCTTTCACAAGGGAACCAAGCAAGATTGATAAATATGCTTAACCTTGAAGGAAGATTAAAGTAATTAACCATGTTAGCAAGCTTAGCAAAGTTATTATTAATCCTACATTGAAAAAAATATGAAATAGTATTCTAGTTGCGGTACTGCAAATAATTTTGACAATTTCTCCAGGATTTAAGTTGTTTTTTCCATTAACATTGACTAATAACGACTTAACGAAGGAGAAAAATACATGGTTTTAAGTAGAAAATTTTGATGCTGTTAAATTTGGGATTAAAAAGATTAAGGAACCGGTAGTCAATCAAACTGACTCATTTCATACATTAATTAATACCCTTGATCCAAATGGAGAAACTTCAATTTTTCCATACTCATACCAATAAGATTCCATCATGTGCGTAACTTACATAGTTTTCTGAAGAAATGGTGACAATTCAATCGAAGCATTACTGAAGAAATGGTGATAATTCAATCGAACTACTACGAAATCAGTTTCAGTTTCCTCTTGGTTTCAAGCTAGGGCGATTCAAATGATGAAATCAACAAAATTATGCCGGGAGAATTTCTATCCGATGAAATCAGCGGATCCGATCGAGAGCTTTGAAGGGCAAGGGCTTACCTCAAGCGAGTGCCCGAGCTGAACGGATTCATTGCTGCTGTTCTCCTCTCTTTCGCGCGAGATTCCTTCGACTACGAGATCAGATCCAACAAGAAACCCTAATTGAATCGAGATCTGAAGACGAGGGCCCAAAAATGAGAGAAATGGAGAGGGGGAGAGGAAAGAGGAGCTCGCTGGATCTGAGAAAGAAAAATAAAATAGGTATTTTTGGGGGGGGTTTTTAATATTTTCTATACTTTTTTTTATTTGCAGATGGAGTCGGATCCGGGACTCGATTAGGTAACTCTTACCCGACCCGTGAAACTTTTGTCGGCTCAAGTATTTGCATTGGTAAATTTCAGATAACCCCCATGAACTTTGCGTGATTTGCATAAACTCTTCTAAACTTTAAAATTTAGGAGAAAATCTGTGTAAGCTTTGGGAGCTTCGCGAAGTTTAAAATACTTTCAAAAAAAGTTTCACTTGAACTTCGAGACAACTTCCGTTTTCTAGGATCTGTCAGGGAAGAGAGAATAAAGAGAAACAGGAAAAGAATTGGATGAGAGTATTTTTTATATATAATTTTACAAAGAGAGAAGGGTTATTTTTATAAAATTTTGAAAGTTGAGATTGATTTTTCGTAACTTCTCAAAATTTAGAAGGTTTTCTCTAATTTTTCAAGTTCGAACAGGTTCTGTTATTGTATACATTCATGATATTTAACTTATCTCTGGTATTGTACATATTCATGTTTTTCCACCTCCTTTGTGGAACATTTAAGGGTCATTTGGTTGGATGGAAATAGACTTGCAACAACAAATAGACCTATTGAATACTTTGTTTGATCTAGAACTTCATAAGTTAGAATCAAATAGGATACAAACTCCTCATTGAAATGAAATTTAATCTCCTTATCATGATAGATCTCTATAATCATATCCGGCCACACGAAGTTATACAAGGAATCAAAAACAATCCCAATATGGATCTCTTCTAATCTCTTGCATACATTGAACCATAAGTTCGTAATCAACCAATTTATCAGCGAGACACCAAAAATATTAAGAAATACTTGAAGGCCAACATTTTATTAACAAATGTAATTGCCAAAAAAGAAAAGGGGAAATGAAATAGAAGAGTTACATCCCCATGGCTTGACGCCAAATGAACACAGACAAGAAATTTTTCTATTTCCCTATTTCGACAATTTTACTCATTTTATTCAATGACATTGCTTCTCTCTTCTGGCTCCCCCTCCCCATTTCTTTATTCTTTCCTCAGCGACAGGGAAGCCTGTAATCAATGTGTAATGGCACTCATCAGACCTTAACAAGAATCATTAACGGTAATCATATATCGAAACTAATGTTTTTACCTCTTTATCCCAATCTGTTCGATAGACTAACCAAAATAGGATTAAAGTTTGAGCCACAGTGCCTAGCAACACCCCCCACCAAATGACCTGAACTCACATACAGTGTGTTGGACTTTTGGTTCAGGAAAAGGTAATTTTGTCTTGTGAATAGTCCCACATCGGGAAATGAGAAGAAGTTCAAGAAGTTTATAATGGTTCACATCTCAATGGGCTTTGAGTTACTGTTTTCGGCCTTGTATTGTTTGGCCTGTTGTTCCACACACGCGCGCGAGCGCCACACCGCACCGAACTTGCTTCCCTTCTGAAGGAGCACAGCAACAAGAAGAAACGGTTTTTCGGGCAACCATCTTCGTCTGAGCCTACTCGAGCCCGGGTACAGAGACCGGCCGTTTCCGGTGGCTTTTACCGCTAGGAGGAGAGGATCGACTGCGTCAGGGCGATAGGCGGGGTCATCTATCTTCTAGGGTAATGAATCACGACTGTACATGTTCAGGCTGGTGCTCTAACTCTTCTATTTTCAGATTTATACTAATTGTTTTTAATTTTGACAGCACAGTGAAGATCTATAAGCAATCAGACTAAAATTCATGAAGAGAACTGAGATTTTCTTGTATTTTTTACCTCTACTCCAAAGTCAAGCTTATAACCGAGGATAAGCGCAAACGGAACCCCAACTACATAGCAGGAGCCAATGTTTATGCACGCAACCGATGTTTGCCATCCAGCACCAATTGCAAAAACCCCTATTGTCATTTTTTTTGAAGTAAATACCCCTGTTGTCGTTGATATTAACAATTTAATCAAAGATGAAAAACTCATTATAGAAATATTTTCAGCTTTTGCTCATGAAGAGTGTGTACCTGAAAGAACAGGTTGAATGTTGTAAACAAAGATGGATATTGCTTTCTGGTGATGATCAAGATCAAAGAGAGAATAACGGCAACAAGAGATGAAGTTATTACGACGACAGCAACTGAAAACGTTGCTGTTCTTGGATGTCCTGCTCCAAGTTCATTAGAGATCCTTACACTGCAAATAAATTATATAGATACATAATCATCAGTTTTCCACTTGAGTTTAATTACATTGAAAGCATCAAATTAGGGTGTAGTTTAAACCTCGTTGCCATATTCCATCCGAAAGCAACTGTAATAGTCCAATTCAAAATGTTCATGCTGGGAGTTGAAAAGGGATTAACACAAATACGCAGTAAATATAAATTTATTTTCATAACTACATAATTCGACAAGCTAAGTTTGTGGTTTAGAACTTTTGGAACTTGGATATACCACATGGACAAAGCATCAACAGAAATCTCAGCATTCATGAGATACCCAGCAAAAAGAATCAGTATCATGAACTTCCATTCCTCCAAGCTGCGAGAGCAAAAAATAAAAATAAAAAACATAAAAAGATAATTACAATTTATTAAAATAATTAATTAAGCAGTTAATTATACACTCAAAAATTACACGAATCAAATTCCAGAATAATTAATATTGTTACACCATGTTTGTGCCTTGATATTAAAAATATCTGGGAGAGAAGCATCATCTCTTATATTAAGCAAAGATAAATCTTTTTTTTTTCTTGTTGCAAGTGAGATAAGAGAATATAAGCTTGGTACAAGTCATGTTGTCGGGTGGCTACTTTCTAAAAACACTAAAAAAACATTACTCTAGCAATCGAGTAAGAAAATAAACATTACCTGTCAATATAAGAAACAAATTGGTTCAATACCCCCCAAATAAAAATCAAAAAACAAAACCGACAAGAACGGAAAAAAATCTTATTATCGTAGATGCCACCACACCAAAACTTTACAAAGCAGTATGCTCCGAAATTGTAGCAAGTGTTGGGGGTTGCAATTTTATAATCTAAAATGACCCCATAGGTTGAGCTTCCTTTTTATAGGACTGAAATAAAACTCACGTAGTGGTGTCAATTTATTTTAATCCGCATTAAATTCATGAAAAGTGGGATGCGAACTTGAGTTGCTCGGATACCATCTTAAAGTATCTTAAAGTCTCTACCACCACACCAAAACTATGAAATTGTGGTGATGGTTGAGAGTCATAACTATCTATTGTTCTTACTACAATTACTATTATTAGGCTTATATAGTACCAAAATATATGATCAATCTTACCATAGCATAACAGCAGAGGTAAGGGAGAGGCGAAGGAAACCCCATATACTATGAAAAGCCTTCCACGAGAATCCATACCATGCCTCTCTACACCCTCCTCCAACAACATACACAAACTGTGCACCTGCTATGAACAAAATAGACAAATTAAGCACCACGGCCGCACCAAAAAGCCCCCATCCCAACCTCAGCATCAACAACCAGCTAAAGAATATGTGCAACACTAGCGCTACGGTAGCTATCCATGTCAACACTATCATCTTGCTCTGCGCCTACAGGAACCTGTGTTGGGGATGCACAATCCCCCTGATGCGATTTGGAAATAGAGATTTAGGAGAGAAGAGAGAAAATCAAACAATCTCAAACACACAAGATTTACGTGGTTCGCTTCTCAATGTGAGAAACTACGTCCACGGCCGCCGCAGGAGAAAAATTCACTATTTTTCTTTGCCGGTCGACCGCAGTGCCATGCTCGGTCGACCGTGATGAGCTCCTGGCCTGTGCACCCAGCTGTGCACATAGGCGGTCGACCGCCGCGCCATGGTCGGTCGACCGCAAAGCTGTAAAATCTCTTCTTCGTCGTTTTGCTTGAACTTCGTCGTCGTCGATCCTGTTCCTCCTGTTCCACTTTGTTCCTCTTCATTCTGAAGTATATGGCATGTCTGATAGTTAGACTTCACATATTCTAACAATCTCCCACTTGGAGACTAACTATCAATCTCTTTCAGCTCTCTCTGCGGCGACGGCCTCCATATCATCAAGTGCTGAGGCCAACTGAAGTTGAACACAACTTCAGTTTCTCTGTAGTGACAACCTTGGTAAGCATATCAGCTGGATTCTTGCTTCCTTGAATCTTCTCAAGTTCCAACATGTCCTCGTCCAACGCTGATCTTATGAAGTGGTAGCGGACCTGTATGTGTTTGGTCCTTGCATGAAAAGCGGGATTCTTTGCCAAATGAATTGCGCTCTGGCTATCACAATGTAAGACATTCTTCTCACTCTTCTGTCCTAGCTCCTCCAAGAAACCCTGCAACCATATCATCTCCTTGTTTGCCTCTGTCACAGCAACATATTCAGCCTCTGTCGTTGATAAAGCAACGATCTTCTGCAACTGAGAAATCCAACTAATAGCTGTAGAGCCCAAAGTGAATACGTATCCTGTAGTGCTTCTTCTCTGGTCTATCTCACCAGCATAGTCTGCATCAACAAAACCCTGCAGGACTAACTTGCCTCTCCTGAAGCATAAGCAATCTTCTATAGTACCTCGCAGGTATCTCAGAATCCACTTTACTGCTTCCCAGTGCCGCTCTCCTGGATCTGACATAAATCTGCTCACAGCTCCCACTGCATGGGCAATGTCGGGTCTCGTGCATACCATGACGTACATAAGGCTTCCAATGGCTGAAGCATATGGAACCTTAGCCATGTATTCTTTCTCTTCATCAGTCTCAGGACACTGCTCCTTAGTCAGTTTGAAATGACTGGCTAACGGTGTGCTAACGGCCTTAGCACCACTCATCCCGAATCTCTCAAGCACCTGTCTAATGTACTCGGCCTGAGATAGCCGCAGTGTGCCCAAGAGTTTATCTCTACTGATCTTCATTCCCAATATCTGCTTCGCTGCGCCTAGATCCTTCATGTCGAACTCACTCGACAGTTGCTTCTTCAGCTTCTTGATCTCTGTCATAT